CCATCCTCTATTGTGTATCCCCGTGCACCCGATGCTCTACGCGTCCCAGCCGTCCCCGTGGCCTGATCGCCTACCACGCACCCGCGTACGCCCGACGCCATCCGCGTGCCGCTAACCTCCGTTGCCGACTCTTCCGATGCGCACCATCGTGCATTGCTTGCGTCCAGCTTCTCGACGTCGCTCGCCCGTGCACCATCTCGACCTTTCAACCTCTTGCGCGCATCATGGCACGATGCGCGTTCCTCGCTCGTGCTCGCACTCTCATCGCCATCCGACCTCAAGTGCTCGCCCGATTCCTTTAGGTCCCCCGACGGCCATGGGTCCCAACCATCCAACCCAATACAATCACCAGCTCGCCAAATCCAACCATCCTCCATTCTACTCTTACCTCCTCTTCGAGCCTCCATCTTGCCAACTCGTCTCTTTCTCGCACACGGCTTACACCAACACTTCTCTTCTTTTGCTTTTGCCTTGTTTTTCCTTCGAGCTCGTTTGGTCTTGCGTCTCTTAGGATTAAGCTTAGCTCGTGGACCACATCCTTTTGGCCAATCCCTCACACATGATGGCCGGTAAATAGGACTAGATGGCTCCTCCAACATATTTTCTAGCCAAATATCGAGATTATCGCCATCATCATCGTCGGACTCACCGGGGTTGATGACCACTTCCGTATCATTTCCCTCCTCTTCGAGACTTTCCTTGTCCTCAAGGATTAGAAAATTCAGCGCACCTTCATCTTCATTGTTTCCTCGGACATCGACCACCATTGCTTCTCGGGCTTCCATGAGTTAACGCTCGTACTCTTCAATATTCATTCGCTCATGAAGCTCATCAAGATATGTTTTCTCCCAAGGCGTGAGCTCTCTTTCCAAACCTTCCAACATCTCAAGATCATCCCAATCTAACTCATCCAATGGTGGGTAAGACATTTTTTTTTTACTCTAAAAATCCGAACAAAAAATTCGAACTAAAAAGTTTCAAAAAACAAAGAGAAATTGGGCCCCTCAACAAAAGGTAATAATCGAAACAAAAATCAAACAAAGGACTAACAAGATGACACCTTTTTTTTAAGACTTCCGAAAAAATAGTGAAAAATTCGAATAAAATTCGAAAATTTCGAACCCAAAAAGAACAAAAATTTGGCCCCCTCAGCAAAAGGCAAAACCGAAAAAAGAAAGAAGATAGATAGATAACAAGACGATCAGCACCTCTCAATGAAAGCACCAATGATGACGGACCGTGTTTTTATCTATACGGGGTTGTGAATAAACCCGCACTCGGGCCTTCGTTTATCCACGATAGGTGTATCTAACAGACACACTCGGCCTTCTCCTAGACACTGTGACTTCAAGACGCTCTAATGGCCTTCTCTCCGACACTGTATGTAAACACACACTAATGGCCTTGTTTAAACGCACGTAAGAACAACAGTTCCCCCTCTCAATTGGCTCACCAATTCAGGACTCAACATTCAACATTCAAGACATAAAATTATGATGAGGTACATGGGGTATTTATAGGTGCATAAAATAAATCTAGGCCTAAATAAACTAGATCTCCTAAATCTTGCAATAATAGAAATCCTAATACTAGAAAGCAATAAAATCCTACTACTACTAAAATATTAATGCTTGGCTTGCACACCAAGCAATTCTAGAATGCTCCAAGTCTTCCACACGCCTCAACCCTTTCGAACCACCTCTTACGTGTCGCGCGCGTGCGCACCCTAGCCGCCCTTGCGCGCGCCGCCATGATTCGCCTACTCCTCGTTGCGCGCGGCAACCAGCGCGCTTACCTCCCATGCGGCATCCTTCACGCGCGCGCCCAGTCCGCCGACCTTACCTTGCGCGTCCGCACCCAGCGCTCGTGCGTCGCCTAATCCTGCCCCACCTAGGACTCCGTCCGCGTCGTCCCACTCGCACGCCATTGCGCACGCCCTGCCCTCACCGATCTTCTCGCGCGTGTTGTATCGCGCGCCCGCGTGCTGCTCATTTGCGCGCCCTCTGTGCCCCGTCCGTTCTCCGCGTAATGCCCGCGNGTCCCGGCTACTGCCCGCGCTCCAATCCTCTATCATGTATCCCCGTGCACCCGCTGCTCTGCGCGTCCCAGCCGTCCCCGTGGCCTGATCACCTACCACGAACCCGCGTACGCCCGACGCCATCCGCGTGCCGCTAACCTCCGTTGTCGACTCTTCCGATGCGCACCATCGTGCGTTGCTTGCGTCCAGCTTCTCGACGTCGCTCGCCCGTGCACCATCTCGACCCTTCGACCTCTTGCGCGCATCACGGCACGATGCGCGTTCTTCGCTCGTGCTCGCACTCTCATCGCCATCCGACCTCAAGTGCTCGACCGATTCTTTTAGCTCCCCCGACGGCCATGGGTCCCAACCATATAACCCAATACAATCACCAGCTCGCCAAATCCAACCATCCTCCATTCTACTCTTACCTCCTCTTCGAGCCTCCATCTTGTGAACTCGTCTCTTTCTCGCACACGGCTTACACCAACACTTCTCTTCTTTTGATTTTGCCTTGTGTTTTCTTCGAGCTCGTTTGGTCTTGCGTCTCTTAGGCTTAAGCTTAGCTCGTGGACCACATCCTTTTGGCCAATCCCTCACACATGATGGCCGGTAAATAAGACTAGATGGCTCCTCCAACATATTTTCTAGCCAAATATCGAGATTATCGCCATCATCATTGTCGGACTCACAGGGGTTGATGACCCCTTCCGTATCACGCAGGGCAGCAGCGCCCGCGGACGCAGGGCAGCAGTATGAGGATCGTGTGTTTCGACTGCCGATAAGCCGCTAAACCGCGCCTTGAATCGCGGATAGTGTTTCTCTAGCCACAACAGCGCCTATTGAAACGAATAAAATTGCAGTAGTATTTTGGTGAAAAGACTAAAGCATAGTTTGTAAGAACAAAGTTCTAGATTTCTATTGATTTCTTGAATGCTTGAAAATAACATAGGTGAAGGGCCTTTATATAGGCACAACTAGATCTAATCCTAATATAACTATAACTCTAATAAAGCAATAAAATATTAAGTGTCCTAACCAATCTAGATATCATAGAGCATTAAGGAAACTAAATAACTAGGGATCTTGAACTTGTCTTGCACTCCAAGTAACCCCAAACCGCCATTGGCAGCGCTTCCCGCGCGCGCGTGCTGTCTATGCGCGCTGCTGCCCTGCGCTCGCGCGCAGGTTGCTTGATGAGGATCGTGTGTTTCGATTGCCGATAAGCCGCTAACCCGCGCCTTGAATCGCCGATAGTGTTTCTCTAGCCACAACAATGCCTATTGAAACGAATAAAATTGCAATAGTATTTTGGTGAAAGACTAAAGCAAAGTGGAAGAACAAAGTTCTGGACCTCAATTGATTCTTGAATGATTAAAAATAACATAGGGGAAGGGCCTTTATATAGGCACAGAATATATCTAGTCCTAATCTACCTAGGGAAATAATAAGCAATAAAATATTAGGTTTCCTAACCAATCTAGATATAATAGAACATTAAGGAAACTAAATAAGTAGGGATCTTGAACTTTTCTTGCACTCCAAGTAACCCCAAACCGCCATTGGCAGCCCAGCCCGCGCGCGCGTGTGCTGTCCGTGCGCGCTGCTGCCCTGTGCGTGAGCGCACGCCATTGCCCTGCGCCCGCGCGCG